AAACAGTGGCTCACGACGCTGTCCAAGGTGCTGAAACGATGCCATTTCCATTTGTCAGCACTCCCACTGGAATGACTAGCTCCCATACCACTGTTTCCGTTAGGCAGAGAATTTCATTCCCATTTTATAGATGAGAAATAGAAGCCCAGAAAGGTAGCAGAGCTAGAGCTACAAACTCATTTCTTGTTTTCTGGTCGAGGACTCTTGAACCGCACGGGGCCGCCATAGTGTAATTTACCAGTGCACACCTCAAGTGATTCTATCACTGCTGCTAGGTGAACATGTAAAATGCCCAGGTTCTCTTCCCACCTCCATCTCTATCTCCATTTCCCCAGATGTTGAGAGGCTTGTCCACCCCCACAGTGCTTCCTGAGACCCACCACTCAGGGTGATCCACAGGTGCTTGGGTGGACCTCGCTAGAACAGCAGCTGTGTATATTCATGCCTCTGATCCATTGGGTATCCCTGGGTACAACTCATCCCAACACCCTCCTGCTGGTATGCTGGGCATGGGGGAAGCAACATTCCCCCACTACTCTCATATCTTACCAGTAATTGCTACCATTTCACCAGGTGTCTGTTGTATTTCAGGCACTGGGTTTTGAACTTCCCTATAAAATTCCTAATTCTCACAAGCAAACTCTTGTTTTAGCAGATGAGGAAGTACAGTGTTAGGCAGGGTAAGTGAGTTGCCAGTAGTCAGTGTGGGGATTGGAGAGCTAGGATTTGAACTGAGATTTGTCTGGTTCCACAGTGATCCTTCAATCAAAGCTCATCAACTAACATGAGAGTTCAGTGTCTCCCACCACCATTGGCTTTGTGGTTCTGGGCAAGTCACTCATCCTGTTTAAACTCCAGCTCCTCATTTGCAAATTGCAGAAAGTGAAAGTGCACCTTCTTAGGGCCCTTGTGAGGCATAAGTCAGATGAAGCATGCAGCCAGGATTCAGTGAGTGTTCGCTGCGAGTGTGCATATGATTATTACTGGAACACAGGTTCCTGGATGGCTGGATGGGAGTCTGATTAGTCTTTCCACATCCCCACCTGGCCCCTATGTCCTAGCAGAGGAAATATCCAGTGTCCTGGGAGGGAAGAGGTGGTGTGTGAAGGCCAGCCCAGAGCCCCAAGCAGGGGCCTGCTTCTGCCCCATGTCCCTGTGCACTCGGGGGTGGGGACCACGTGGCTGGGGCAGGCATGTCACTGAGCTCACAGTGTGGTTCTGCATTACTTCATCAGCACTCCTCATGTGGATATTGAGCCCGAGACCATTCTCAGCCCCCAGAATCTGCTTTCATAAAGCTGCCCCAATATCCTTCCTAAAGACCCTGGGCAGGGAGAGCTGGGGTCGGAGGAGAGAGCTGAGAATGCGGTTTCACATCCACTCCATGGGGGCTACACATATCCAATAGCAGGCAAAACTGATTTAGTTCTCCCATCGTTCAGATAGGGAAATGGAGGTCCAGCAAGGTGAAGTGACATGCCCAAGATTACTGAGCCCAGAATGAAGGTCTCCAAACACCCAGAAAAGGGTTCCTTTAATGAGTCCATAACTGACTACACAACCTAAAATCATTCAAGGATAAAGGCAGGATACATACATTCACAAACTGACCCACCAACAAAGGCATTGCTAATTATTACCGACTGTGGGACATCTTGGGTCCAGTCTCTGCTGAGTCTGCTCTGCAGACTGCCCCCACTAGCTGGCTAATTGTGGGAAGCTGCATTCATTCAGAAGCTGGAGTGAGGGTGAGAGTAACGGCTTCCCCCTCAGGGCTCGGTGCACGCAGAAATGAGTCATGCTGGTTGAGAACAATGAACTGTTCTGTAATCACCTCCTGTAGTCCCTGCCCAGTGTCCAACAGAGCCCTAGAAGAGCCTTTCCAGGAATAATGAGGCTGGGCGGGAAGAGATGGATGGGAATTTACTGGGTCTCACCAGGGCAGCTTGACTCACAATCTGTCTTAGCCCTGAGCCCCAGGCAGGGGGGACTCCACAGTGAGATGACTCTGGCATGCACCATGTGCCCCAAAGTTCAAGGACAGGAAGTCATTTGCATCTCAGGTGCAAGGAAGAGAGGCAGTGGCCTGGCCACCAGACTGTTGGAGCACTGGGGGCAGTGGGCAAACAGATGCTAGCCTCCTAGGCCTTCCCAGGGCCCCGATTTTCCCTTTTTCTGAGGATCAGTGAGTAGGCAGGCAGCTGGAGATAAAGAAGGGCAAACAGGGAGGCAAGGCTCCCAGCAGATGCATAGACAACGTATATGACCAGACCGTACAACCCTCAGTGAGCTTCCCACGCCCATGTATGCACATATCTCCTTGCTCCTACTTTTCTCCCTTTTCCCCAGACTTGATCCACGGAGTCCATATAGTAGACCATCTTAGACGTTAATAGGTTCTTCTCTCTCCCTAACTCCCCATCCACATATGCCCAAAGTCCTAGAGCTATGCTAGAAGCCAAGCTGGGACAGGGGTGTCACCCATGAGCAGTTCGGTGCAGTCAGCTTCAGTCACCTGACCACTTGGTTATGTGAGATGTTTAATCCCAAACAATTATTCTCTCCTACCCAAATTCAAAACCCAGGGCACCTCCATTTTGCTGTGGAAATTACAGCAAAAATTCAGACCAACAAAGCTAAATTAAAGAGGAAACCAGGCTTCCTTCTCTTTCAAAGATGCCGAGGAATTCATTTTTATCGGCATTGGGGAAGTTTTATCTGCACTGGGGAAAGAGGAAAGAAGAGCTGAACTGTTTTTAAAAAAATCTTAGTAAAATGTTTTGATTTCAACAAATATATTTAGACTAGGTGGTGGCTCATGCCTATAATCTCAGCACTTTGGGAAGCCAAGGTAGGTGGATCACTTGAAACCAGGAGTTCGAGATCAGCCTGGCCAACATGACAAAACCCTGTCTCTACTAAAAATACAAAAATTAGCCAGGCATGGTGGCACATGCTTGTAATGCCAACTACTCAGGAGGCTGAGGCATGACGATTGCTTGAACCCTGAAGTCGGAGGTTGCAGTGAGCTGAGATTACACCACTGCAATTCAGCTGGGTGACAAAGCAAGACTCTTTCTTAAAAAAAAAAAAAAAAATATATATATATATATATATATGTATAGATAATACTTTAAATATATAAAAATATATGTAATACTTTAAACACAGAACTGATACCCTAAATATATATAAATGCATATATATATATTTAAGGTATCAGTTCAACATATAATTAACATAACAAAATTATTGAGATGTTTTATATTCACCTTTTCATACTAAGTCTTGGAAATCCAATGTGTATTTCCCACTTCACATCTCAATTCAGAACTAGCCACATTTTATTTTGAACAGTGTTTTGTCCTGGGCCGTGCTCTGCAGACCACAGGCAGCCCATCTTTAAAAGACATTGTCACCAAGCAAACCCTCACTTGATCTACAAACAATTCCCTGCAGATGAGTGGATCTCCACCTTGGCGGCACACTGGCCTCAGTCAGACCATGCCTAGAGCAAATACATCAGAATCTCTGGGAACGGGGCCCTGGCACTGACGTCTATGAAGCATTCCTGGTGACTTCAGTGTGCTGCCCAAGTTGAGACCCGTGGCTACCTCTGAGCATCCTACTCAAAGTGAAAACCACTGACCAGCATTATTGGTATCACCTGGGAGCTTGTTAGAACGGCACACCCTCAGGCCCCATCCCAGACCCACTGAATCAGAACCTGCAAGTGAACAAGGGCCACAGGTGCTTAGAAAATTTACTACCGCCTGAAAAGCCTGCTAAAATGCACTCTATATGTCCCATCTTGACACCTGACAGCAACCTTACAAGGCAGGCGTTCCCTTTCACAGGTGAGGAAACCGAACCTAAGAGAGGTTGACTCATTGGTCCAAGATCACATGACTGGTGAGTAGGATAGCCAGGGTGCAACCCAGGTCTGGTTCCAAAGGCCACACTCTTTCAACTGCACCGTTGTATCACTTCCTACAGCACAATGAAACATAAGGCCACAGAGAAGCCCTGAGTGTTTGACTCCTTGAACCTGCTGGGCATGCCTTACCTTTGAATAGGATTCCACTTATAATGTCAAGTTCCCCAGAACCAAACCTCATAAAGACCACATAATTCATGAGAAAATACAGATAGTAAACAAACGTAGGGAAGATGTTCACTCTCCCTCATAATCAGAGAAATGCAAATTAGAGCAACAGTGAGGAGCCATTTTCTACCTATGTAATTAGCAAAAATTAAAAACATGTTAGCAAAGTTATTCTGAAATCGGTACACTCATACACAGTTGGTGGTGGTGTAGATTTATAGAACCCTTGAGCAAAGTAATACGGCTACATCCATCAAGAACCATCAATATATTATGCCCACTGACCCTGGGAATTCACCCTCAGGAAATAATTCATGAGAATGAGGACACACAGGAAAAGAAGAAGAAAAAAAAAAAGGAAATAATTCAATAGGCAGGAGGAACGCTATTTGCACAAAGATGCTCATTGCAACATTCACTGTGAACATTGGAAACAGCTTAATATTCAGCAGTAAGAGAATGGCTGAGGAAACCTGGGGTGCATCTGCTCCTACATGTTATACAGCCATTTAAAGTGATAATTAAGAAGCCCAAGCAGCAACACAGAAATGTGGGTGAAAGAAGGCAGAGTGCAAAACTGTCTATGTGTATTGTGTTTTTTTCTGATGTAAAATACTGTGTGCATAAGGATATAGGCAAGGAGGAGCTGGGCACAAAGGAAGGCAACCTTCAGAGCTGGGGGTGATGGGAAGACCCCTTCTCCTGTTATTGGTAATATTACAAACCCTGGCCCTTTGAGACTAGCTTCAGGGGCCCTCCCTTCATGGAATCTATCTCTGAGGGGGACACAAGGAAGCACCTGGGTGCAGGGCCACATTCCTGATTGCACCAGGAGGTGAAGGGAGCTGGCCGGATCGGGGGTCAGGAAGGCCATGAGAGGCCCCTCCCATCTTACCATGAAGCCTGGGGCACAAGTGCAGCCCCCAGTGATGCTGTGGCAGTCGGCGCCGTTCTGACAGGTGCAAGGCAGCTGGCAGCCATCGCCATAGTAGCCAGCAGGGCAGGATTCATTGCAGTGGCGGCCAGACCAGCCTGGCTGGCAGGTACAAGCTCCAGTTACTGGGTGGCAGCTGTGCAGATGAGAGAAGGGTGAGAAGACAGTTCGTTCTGGGAAGCAGCCCTGTCCCACCCCAAGCCTGGCTTGCCCAGGGTAGCAGGATCGAAGGACCTCTGGGATTGAACTGCTTACTGCCCTGTTTGTCAGAAGATGCTAAGGCCACATGGTCTTATTAGCACCCAGAAGCTGAGGCTCTGGTGATTATATAACTACCCAGATGTCACACAACAAGAGATGACAAGATCAGGATGAGAACACAGGTCTCCTGACTCTCAAACGCATCTTCTTTATAATTCGAATACACCGAAAGCAAAACAGAGGGTGGCCTCTTTAGTCCCTTGGCTTATAGACTATGTGGTCCAAGTCTTCATCCATCCCTTACCCAAGGCAAATGCCTAGTGTGGGAACATCATGAGAAGGTAGCGATGATACCCAGTGGCTCTCCATATCGCAGGTGTTCAATGAATGCTGTCTGAGTGAAAACAAGGGCCAGATGTGGCCTCCCCTCTCTGGCAACGTCTGCCCTGGAGAGAACAACCTCCAACCTATGCTTTGCCAGGCTCTTTTACAGTGAGCAAGCTCTTCTCCATCTCCTGTCTAGGCTAGAGAAAGGACCTGGCATGACCTCCAGAGAATGGGGCAACCTCTAGCCAGCAGCCATCTGATCCAACAGCCCATGTCCATTCATGGTCAGCGGGATGCCAGGTGTAACCATGTGCTGCTTAGAACTCCTGCAGGAGTGTAATTGACCTATGGCCCCAGCTGCTGAGTCTGAAATCCAGAGGCCACATTTCCCCTGGGCCACTCCCAGCTGGAGCACAGCAGGGATACTACTAACGTGGGCACACTCTTGGGATCTGGGACTCCTCTGATAGGTACCTTGGCTTTAAGATGTCCCATCCTGGCAGACTTTCTTAGAACTGTGCTGTGGGTTAAGATTCTTCCTTCCTCCCTCCCTCCTTCCCTCCTTCCCTCCCTTTCTCCCTTCCTTCCTTTTTCCCTTTCTGTGATCTGACAGCGTTCTCAGCCTCCCGAGCTTCCTCCCCTCTTTCCCTCACAGATTCTTCCCCTAGTAAACCACTTGCCCTTGCTATCTGCTTCTGGAGGGGCTCAGAATAACACACCAATGAAGTGCTGGGTGGTAGAGACAAGCCTCGTAGATTCCCTGTGGCACTTGCCTCCCCGCTCTGGAGCCCAGTTCAGAGGATAAGGTCAAGAGAAACATGCCCTGGGCTGGCAGGGGGAACCTGGGGCAAGTCTTAATTCTGCTAACTTCCATGGGGCCTTGGTGCCTTGCCCCTCTGGGCCATGGGTGAGTCCCCAATGCCTGGCTCATATTCACTGCCCTGGTGAATATTTGGAAATGAATATGGCTTCCCCTAAATATAATTATTTTCCATTGATTCTTTATTCTTATCTGCTGACTAATCATCTGTCTTCTCCAGAAGTTTGCAGCTCCATGGCGGGGAGTCCTTTGTCTTAGTCCCTTCTCGGGGCCCAACAGAGTCCCTGGCACACTGGAGGTGCTTAATATATATTTTGAAAATTAATTAATGAGCAAGCTAATTGTGTGAAGTGTAGCCAAGCTGCTCCTCTTCTAGGGATCCTGGTTTTCTCACAGAAAATGAGGGGGTGGACAGGAACAGGCAATTCCTGAATAATAGGTGCAAGTAGCTAATCATCACTTCAGAAAAGGGTTTTCTGTCATTCTCATCAAGTCTAAACAGCAACTGGACACCACTTTTCCTGTATCCAAACAGCGAAGATGTTTTAAAATGCCGGTAAAGGCTTCAAAACAATCTGAGGTTACGTATCAAGAGACTTAAAAGTATTCAGACTCTGGTCTTGTAACTCCATTTCTAAGACTCTATCCTAAGGAAATAATCATAGTTGTGGAGAAAGATTTATGCACAGAGATGTTCCCCGAAGCACTATTTATAACAGTGGGAAATGGAAGCAATTTAAATAATAATAAATAATATGTGACCAGGCTATTGAGGCACCAGGCACTTTATACATATATTTCTAAATCTTCAAATAAGCCTGGGAATTAGGCATCTGAGCCTCTGTTTCACAGGTGGCATTTAGAGGTTATGTGACTTGCCCAAGGTCAGTGAGCGGCAGAGCTGGGATTCAAACCCAGGTTTGTCTAGTCATATTTTATTCTCTGCCTCATGCCACCTCTCCCCACAGGGCACTGGTTAAAGGAATTAGAGCATTCATATGAAGCAATGCTAAGACACACATTCATTTGCCTTTCAAAGTGTTGACTGGTATAAGATTAAGAAATGAGCACCCTGCATACGAAGCCATTTCTACCGATGCTGCATCTGTTGGCTGAATCAAATCTTTCAAATATGAAAATATATCAAATCTATGACAACAATATAGACATCGACAGATGAGCAAATGAAAACAAAGTGGCTTCTGTGCTGACCTCTGGATGGAGAAACTGATTCTAAGTTTTTTCTTTAAATGTCTATGTATTCCCTAACTTACCAAAACTGAGCATCCATTGTATTTGTAAACAGATGTAAAGCAATGAAAAATCATAAATCTATAACAAAGAAGAATGGGTGTAAGGGATGAGTGTTTGAAGACTTTCTGACCTTTACAGTTTGAGAGAAATTCCTTAAGCCCCAAGGCACTGGAAGGGGACACAGAGACTTGCACGGGTGTCATGGGGAAAGAGTGCCTCTTGGTGGCCCTGATGCTCTGCCAGATGGTTTTGGGGCACTGTTCTTTCTCTCTAGGTGGCACCTTTCCAAGAGCACCCTCTGAGGTTTAGGGTTAGCATAGAGAGACTGGCTCAGTCACGGTTGTGGGGACCGACATGCTTGAACCTAGGAATGACCTGACAGGTCTTGGCTGTAGCCATCAGCTCAGCCGAGCACTGGAGATTCTAAAAGGTCTCAGGCACCCTTCTGCTTCTTCCATCAATAGATCCTCCTGCTTTCTCTGCCTACAAATGGTCATGCTGGAGTTCACCCATTACACACTTTTACTTTGGTGAGGTACCACCCTGTGAAAAGCACACTCCACACACAATGAGCTGGCAAACGCTGACTTTTTTTTTCTTTTTTTTTGAGATCGAGTCTTGCACTGTCACCCAGGCTGGAGTGCAGTGGTGCAATCTCCGTTCACTGCAACCTCTGCCTCCTGGGTTCAAACGATTCTCCTGCCTCAACCTCCAGAGTAGCTGGGATTACAGGTGCCTGCCACCACCCCCAGCTAATTTTCTTGCATTTTTAGTAGGGACAGGGTTTTACTATGTTGGCCAGGCTGGCCTCGAACTCCTGACCTTGTGATCCACCCACCTCGGCCTCCGAAAGTGCTGGGATTACAGGTGTCAGCCACCACGCCTTGCTCAGCAAATGCTGACTTCTAAGTTCTCTCTGCATTTCCTGCTTTTGATCTCTGCTGCTGTCATTCTGACTACTCAGGGGTATGTCAGGAGCTAATCTTACTCTTTACTCTGAGAACCAGAAGGCTCAACACCAAATCTAAAATCATTCCTTTCCTTTTTTTTCATATCCCTACAATCCTATTTCTAGAAGTGGGATATTTATTTTCTTAATATGATTACTCATCTTACAGAAACTCTAAAAGTCCCTTTGAAAAGAGGATGGAGAGTGACAGCTGACAGTGATCATGATGGAGAGCTGTGATCGCTATGCCTAGAACCTTTGTCCCTCAGCAGAGGGACTTTCACAGCTCCTCTCCCAGGCATCCCTTCTTCCCAGTGGTGGTTCCCATTCTCTTGAGTCACATGGCAGGCCAGGGACTGCTGTTTTTGGCTCAGGCACATGTTACAATCACTGGTGTTTAGGCTGGTTCCATTCCATTTTTTTTTTCTTTTCTCCCATTTCCCCCAGACATAGATTAATCAAAAGTTAACAGGAGCCGAAAGCAGAACAATACAGGATTCCTTCCAGAGTGGATTTTTCTGCCTTTCTTTCAGCTGCTAAGAGATTTCTATCAATGCTCCATCTGTTGGCTAAATCAAATCTTTCAAAGGTAATAACACAATCATGGCTGCTGGAATTAGTCTATGACAATCCAATTGTGGAGGGGACATTTAAGAGCACTGACACACAGGAGCTTTCTTTCTCAAGGTTATTCCTGTATAAAGGAGGATGGTTTCTTTGTGTGTGCTACAAAGAGTTGATAAAGGGAATGAAGAGTTGATAAAGGGTTGGGGAATCTCACCAGCCACTTCTTCTTTCCCAGGGCATGGACTCAACCTCTGTGCAGCAGCCTTGCCGGAAGGGCACAAGCCAGAGTGAGGCAGAGCTAGGTGGAAGGGCTTTCTTTAGCTGGGGGCTGGCATTACCTTGCTGCCCTCGGAAAGATGCTCAAGACTGCACGCTGCTGTGGTCAGGGGTTTGTTGTAAGCTCTGCAGAAGGCAGGGAGCTTTGACGCTAGGCTTCTAGGGATCCCAGGTTCCTTCTCTGAGGGAGTTGGATGGAAGCTTCACTTTCAAAGACCCAAAGGAAAACATCTCCCCTGACTGGGTTAATGAAAAGTGACAGCAGACAGATTGGGAAACTTACGCAGAGAGAGGAGAAGGGCATCTATCAGGCACTTGCTTAGGCAGAGGTAGGTTGGAGGCCAGGACTCGGAAGTCCCAATCCCCACCCAGTACCTGAACTTTAACTGTGTGAAGATTAGAAGTCACAGATTCATTCCTTTGCTTTTCTTGCATCACAAGAGAAGTCTCTATAATAGGCCAAAAAAGGCTCAGGGGAAGAGAGGGGCTGCCCTCTGTCCACAGAGAGGAAGAGAGCTGTTTTCTGATGTCCATAAGAACAAGGGCAAGAGCAGCCTGACAGAGTTCATTTAGACCAGACGCTCTCAACCTCAGGGAATTTTTCCTGCCCCACCCCACTCTGGGATATCTGGCAATGTCTGGCAGTAGTTTTGGTTGTCAGAACTTGGGCAGGGGCAGTGGGATGCTACTGGCATCTAGTGGGTAGAGGCCAGGGATGCTGCTCCACATTCTACAAAGCACAGGACAGGCCTCGACAACAAAGAGTTACCCAGCACACGTTCATGGTGGCCAGGGCGAGACATCCTAACCTCAAGTGAACTTTGTGCCACGGGCTCTGTCACTGGGCCAGTGTGCCAAAAGAAAAGGGGAAATATGTATTTTTTAAAAAAACAGGGCTGACTTCAGCTAATGGGCAGAAGCTGTTTGATGAGTTGAGGACTCTTCTTACTGAAGGCGGCCTACTCTGTGCAGGCACCGTGCGGCGCTGAGGCTAGAGGCCACAGGGATGGATAAGCCAGGCTGCTGGTGCCCTCAGGGAGCCAGGCTGTGACAAAGCTCCCCTCAGACTTGGAGGAGACCGAGCTGGGGAGGAGACCGGCAGGCAAACTCAAGAGCCCCTACTCTGAAGAACCACGAATCCCTCCCAGTCCCTGAAACTTCATGTGCGTTTAAGACAGTAAAGCAAATAATCATCAATACTGGATGGGCTGAGATTAGCAGGAGAGAAGAGGGAGTCCTTCCAGATTAATAATGCATCGAGGACTCCTTCAGAGGAAGGATGACTGATACAGGGCATGGTTGCCCAGGCACAGGAGGAAAACAATAGCCCTTTAATTTGGGGCTCGATTGGGATTTCTGTGGCAGGGGCTCCCTGCAATAAACCCCAGCATCAGCCTTGCTTCCTGTCTTGGAGAAGGTCCTCCCCTCAGCTTCCCAGCAGGAGTGATGGATCCTGGAATATTAATATTTAGACACATAGAACAGTCTGAGCCAGCTACCCAGTCTCCTGACCGGCCACGTGGGACTTCTGTAATTAGCACCTTGGAGCTGCCACTCTGCTCCCCAGACCCAGCCCAGATGCCGCCTCCTCCAAGAAGCCTTCCCTGACCAGCATCACGTAGTTCTGAATCACAGTTACTTGGGTACATGCTGGAACCCAGCAAGGCCAGCTCCATATATTTTATCAATTCTAAGAGGTACTTCTCCTCTACATTAGCAGGGCCAGCCCCATATATTTTATCAATTCTAAGAGGTACTTCTCCTCTACATTTTTACATCTCTGATATTGGAAAGATACACATATATATATATATTTCCTGAGACAGAGACAGACTGGAGTGCAACGGTGCAATCTCAGCTCACTGCAACCTCTGCCTCCTGGGTTCAAGCAATTGTCCAGCCTCAGCCTCCCAAGTAGCTGGGATTATAGGCACATGCCACCACACCCAGATACTTTTTTGTATTTTTAGTATAGAGGGGGTTTCATCATGTTGGACAGGCTGGTCTCAAACTCCTGACCTCAGGTAATCCACCTGCCTTGGCCTCCTAGAGTGCTGGATTACAGGCGTGAGCCACCGTTCCCAGCAAGCCCTACTGATTTTTGAGGTCCCTTCCAGCCCTGACCTTCTGCAGCTCAAGCCCCTACTTCTGCCCTAGTGGCCCTGTCTCTGGTTGGATGCCAAGCAAGCGGAGGGGAAATGTCGTCCAGGACAATGTGCTCAGAACCTGTGGCACCTGAGTCCTGCCATCCCAGCCCTCGGGGCCTTGCAGCTGTGCTCCACCCCGCCTCCTTGCTCTCTCCTTGCCTGCATGTGTGGAGTCTCGGTTGGGCACATTTTGAAATGCAGGCAGCCAGGTGCGGTTGGCAGCGGTGAGTGACCTAGCTCTGGGTATGCGGCCTTGGCTTCCCCTTCTTTTCATCAAAGTGGTTCTCGGGGCTCAGTGCTGAGGTCCTAGCTCTTTCCCCACCACCCTGCCTGGATGTTTGTGCTGGAGGCGGGGGGCCACATCTTATCAAGCCTCCTCTCTACCTGAGCCCACACCCACCCGCCACCCTTGTCCCATGCTCACCTGTTCCCAGTTCATACCTGATAGTGTTGTCAGCATCACAGGGGCAGGGGAGGGTGCAGCCTGGGCCATGCAGACCCTCGGGGCACAGCCGCTCCTGGCAGCGCGGACCCTTGTAGCCAGGCTCACACTCGCAGGCGCCCGTGGTGGGTGAGCACTGCCCCCCATTGTGGCAGTCGCAGCGCTGAGAGCACTGGAAGCCGAAGGTCCCGAAGGGGCACTCCTCTTGGCACCTATGGGATAGCAGAGTGGGGCTGAGGCTGTGGATCCTCTAGGATGCTATTCTCCTTGCCTTCCAGCCAGGCCTGGAATGCTCTGCCTTGCTCACAGCCTCCTCCCCCTTCTCTCTCCTCCTCCAGGAAGTATTCCAAGGTTTAGCTTGCCCCAGTCATTTCCCCAGGTCTCCTCAGTCGCCCCAGCAATGAGTTTGTACTACCATTTTACTAGCATACCCTAGTAGCTGGGATTACAGGCACCTGCCACCATATTTTGATTCCAAGCCTAATATTTTTTAAAAAATTAAAAAAGTTGTGGTGAAATATACAGGTTATGGTTTAAACAGTTCTCTCAAAATTCTCATTGAAACTTAACATCCAATGCAACAGTAGTAAGAGGTGTGGCCTTTGGGAGGTGATGAGGGCGTGAATGGATTAGTGCTCTTATAAAAGGGCTGGAGGGAGCAGGAAGCTCCTATTTTTTTAGAGGGGGGGGTTTTCTATTCCTTTCACCCTCTGAGGATACAGTCACCATTTTTGGAAGCAGAGATCTGAGCCCGCATCAGACACCAAACCTGCCCGCCCCTTGATCTTGAACTTCTCAGCCTCCAAAACTGTGAGAATAAATGTCTGTTGTTTATAAATTACTCAGTCTGGTATTTTGTTACAGCAGCATGAGCACACTGGGACAGTACCCAGTATAGAACTTACTGTTTTAACCACGTATGGTTCAGTGGCATTAACCTCATTCACACTGTTATGCTACATCACCACCCATCTCTGGAAGTTTTCCATCTTCCCAAAGTGAAACTCCTCACCCATTAAACAAAAAAAAACCTAGGTAGGTTTAAAAACACCCTCCCCCTGCCCCCCTTTTTTTTTTTTGAGATGGAGTCTTGCACTGTTGCCCAGCTGGAGTGCAATGGTGCAGTCTTCACTCACTGCACCTCCGCCTCCCAGGTTCAAGTGATTCTCCTGCCTCAGCCTCCCCAGCAGCTGGGAGTACAGGCACCCGCCACTACACCTGGCTAATTTTTTGTATTTTTAGTAGAGATGGGGTTTCACTATGTTGGCCAGGCTGGTCTTGAACTCCTGACCTCATGATTTGCCCGGCTCGGCCTCCCAAAGTGCTGGGATTACAGGTGTGAGCCACCACGCGTGGCGAAAAACATCTTGTTATTAAAATATGTTTTTATGTCTCTGAAATTAGATGTCTTATAACTGATGACATGTCATATTTAATTGCCAGTGTTTTTCATTCTTCCCAGCATGTGAAATAAGGATGCATCTCACGATCAGTGGCACCTTAGATTTGATGAAATGGGGTGATTTTGTTTCTATACAGCGTCTCTGGTTTTTGAGCTTTTTGGGCAGATGCACAGTCTCTCTTGTCCTATTGGGAGCTGTGTCTCCTCCCTGACTGTGGAATCTCCCTCGAGTAGAGAAAGCATCCTTCTTCATTGGACTATAGAATTCCCTGTGACAGGGGCTATTTTCCCTTCCTTGGAAAAGCGTTCCCTCAAGGCAGGGGCTGAGTCTCTTCCATCAGCCTGTGAGCCCCCAAGGAGGAAGCCTGGGACCTCCTTTGTGTCCTGTGCGTGTCTGGCCCGGAACTTGGAGCTCCCAATATCAGGATAATTATTCAACTTCATTGAACTCACAGCCATGGGTGTGGCTCCTCCGTAGGTGAGTGTGACCCCCACTGCTGACTGCCTGGTTTCCTGAACGTGCCTCAGTACTCCTTCCCCCTGCCCTGGGCTCTTTTCCAGGGGATGCAAACTTATTGTCACAGCAACTAGATCCGGATAAGTCCAGGGGTAAATCCAAGGCAATAAGAGGTAAAAGAGGTGGGGGGTGACCTCCTGCACTCCAAAGACAAATAGAAATGGCCTCTGGCCTCTAGGGTTCTCGGGTATCTTTGTCCCAGCACTGATTCAAGAGTGCGGATAATGGAGAACCAACCTAAAGCTCTGACTTCCTCTTCTTTTTCTTTTTCCTCTTCTTTTTCATAAAACGGGACAATATTTACTAAACCTCATCGGGTCGTATAAGAATTAAACGGGATACTGTGTGTAAACATTTAGAAAGGTGCCCAGCCCACAACTAGGGCTCGATTAGAAAAGTTAGTGATTTTCATAGGACTCAGGTTAATATTGTTTTTCACACTTCTTAGAACAGAGCCCACCTGACCTTCTGGCCTTAAATTCAGGCATAAAAAAGCCCAAGGGGAAAAATTCTAAAATGCTGATAGAGTGGATTTGATGAATTGGTGTTTTAATTATGTTTCCATTTTCCAGGTTTTCTGTGTATCTTCTACAGTAATCAGAGGAGAAAAGCAATTTAAAAAAATGCAGCTCTAACTTCTTTGTTATGAATTTGGAGGATCATGGGGTGGATTCTTCTTCCACAGACTAGGCAGGGAGATTCTGTGCCTGGGTGACCTCAGTTGTTTACGGTGAGGGTGAGTGGCCAGATCCCTGAGGATATGGCAGGGCCAGCTAGCAAGTGTGTGGGGGACGAGGGGAACCAGTGTGTGGGCACTAGCCTTGGCAACTTGAGGTATCCTTGGCAACTGGGATATCTTTGTCTCTGTCCTCTGCCTTCGTTGCTCTGTGCGCACAATGACAAGGAGAAGAGGACAGTGACTGGGCTCTGGCCTTGAGTGCTTCCTTCCCAAGCAGATGCCCCAGTTCTCCCCTCTCAGAGCCACTGTGGCAAAGGAGTGATCCAGCAGCATAGAGGGGCAGAAGGGATCATGATGATAACGCCCCTGGGCACTGTAGAGCGAGGGGCTTTCAGCTGCTTAGGCTCCAGAGCCTGTCCCCAGCCCATGAAGCACCAGATATTGTCATCACCCTCGCTTTGACATTAAGGAGGCTGCCAGCAGACAAGTGAGGCAACTTTTCCAAGCTCATGCAGCCTGTGTGTGGCTAAGATGACCCCAGATTGTCTTCCTGCAAATCTCTCTGCGGGTCAGCCAATCTGAGGCCTCATGAAGGAAACGAGACCAGAAAAGAGAGGGACGAGGAGGCAGGAAAGAAGGTGATGTCTGGAGAAGGAAAAGTGGAAGACAGAGGAGAGGAGAGAAACTGAGGCAGAAGGGGAGGAAAAAGGGCAGCTGAAGACCTGGATAATCACTATCTGAATTGCCAGCCCCTGTTCAGCCTGCAAATCGATTTCTCCGGAAGTCTCTGTGCTTTGTTGGCCTCAAATATCTCAGATGTCAGGTGAAAAAAACTCCAGACACTTCCTGATCCCTGTTTATTTTCAAACATTCCTGCTCCCTCCTGCTTAGCAGGACCAGGCAGAGCCCTGAACCCTAAGCTCCTCTGATGGGCAATTCCCTGGCCCACTATTTTTTGGGGGGGGGGGGGGTGACAATCTACAGCCCCAGAAAAACAATCTGGAAATGAAATATTGACAACCTAATTCATTTACATAATCAGCCTCTTTTCTTTTTCTACTCACAATTTAAACAACTTATTTATTTAGAGATCAAGCAACGACGGCTAATGAATTTTACACAAAGCATGCTAATAACCAGGCCTGTGGAACAGAAGGGTAATCACAGCAGGAATTAGTTTTCCACTTAAACATCCTTTCTTTGCACCATATCAATCTAATATGTCCGATACTGCCATTAACAACCAGATACATTGCTCAATTAAATTACAAAATGAGCTGCAAAGCCCTCGTTACATTTCGCGTTTAATTTGCACTGGTTTCTTCCTATCCGGGGAGGCCTGCATTATTACACCCACTCAACTTTAATATGCTCGTGATGATATGGGGTGGGTTAATGCAGCTGTCACCTACGAAATTAATGGAGGCAATTTTACAAAATATTAAACACGAGGCAGCCCATTTAGGTGAGAAGCCCAAATGCGACCTGGCCTCCCACCGAACTCTCCTGTGGTTGATTGGCAAAGCTTGCCAGAAGGCCCTTCGGCTTTAAGGCTTCCTCTCTGCCCAAGATTATGCACCAAGCTCCAACAAGCAGAGATTTTGGATTCTCTCTCACTCCCGCTCTCTTTTTTTTTTTTTGAGATGGAGTCTCGTTTGTTGCCAGGCTGGAGTGCAGTGGCACAATCTTGCCTCACTGCAACCTCTGCCTCTCGGGTTCAAGTGATTCTCCTGCCTCAGCCTCCCGAGTAGCTGGGACTACAGGCACTCGCCACCACGCCCAGCTAATTTTTATATTTTATATAAAATTTATATAAAGACAGGGTTTCACCATGTTGGCCAGGATGGTCTCAATCTCTTGATCTTGTAATCCGTCCGACTTGACTGCCAAAGTGCTGGGATTACAGGCATGAGCCACTGTGCCCGGCCGTGGATTATTTCTCTACTTGGCACATTTTGACAGCGAAAATCGAGAGCACCAATGAGCTAGGGTCTACTGGTGTAGAGTCCAGCTGGCTAGAGCCCTAGGCCTGCTCATTTCCAACAACAAGTGGGCAGTTTGCACTCTCATGAGAAAGTGGTCTGACAAAGGAGTCATGTGCTGGCTTGAGGGTCTTCCTGGTTCCAGTCCATGCTGGCTCATCCTGAGCATTTCCTGATTTAGGGAGATGGTGAGGACGGAAACATGCCTTTAGTGTTTCAGTCCTCCCTCTCAAGGCTCAGGGAGGGAGGGGTCCTCAGATGCCAGACCCCATGTTCTATGCTGGGGAAGCTTATGTAGATGAACACTGGATCACAAAGAGATCAGATCTGGCTTAAAAGACTTCCAGCTGGAGGTAAATAAGCCCAAGGGTAATGGACAATCTCTTTTCTGGACATCACTAAGGATTCGGGGCTGATTACAGGGAGAGCCAGAGGAGCCCCGATTTTGTCTATTAGAGATGGAGGGACTCATTGGTTAACTCAGCCGTGATGCCACTCAGGCAGGGAAGGATGAAAAATGTTCCCTCATTTTGTCCGAGGAAAGTATACAAATCCAGGAGCTAGAAATGAAACATGGATCCCCACGGAACCAGGCAATGGGTGTGGGGGCCGCCTCCGTGCAGCCCTTCTCTCTGTTTGAAGAGACCCATGTGGTCAAGAGTGAGAGGAAGGAGACTTGGCCCGGGTTCTGTGGGTTTCAAATATCTTTTTCCAGCTCCCTCCCCACTCACCCTCACACACGCTGGCTGCCTGCCGTTTGTCCCTGTTCCTTTGCACCTGCCCTGTCAACATGGGATTCCTCTTCCAGCTGGGCCACGTGTGCACGCACAGCGATTGCCCAGTTCCATGTGTTTTGGTTATCCACTCTGCAAGGCTGGTTTCATTCCAGGACATTAGTGCCCTCCTTCAGTCTGCGGTTAGGCTGCAGGCCTTCAGAGGATGTAAACGGATGCCAGTATCCTTTTGTTGGAACGCAAATTAGGACTAAAAATCCCCTTCCAGAAGAAACCATGCAAAACACGTGAAGTGATTTTGTCCTCTCAGCTTGCTTGGATTATCTGTGCCATTGCCTCCTCCATGAGTGTAAAGAGTAGAGAGTGGGGGCAGGTGCTCACCTCCTTCCCCCAGCTGAGCCCATGCAAATTCAGGGCGGGGGCCACTAGGCTAGAGAAGAGGGTGTGCTGGTGTGCTCTGCAGGCCGAGGGCAAGGAGGCATCAGTTGCTGGCTCTTCCTGGCAGGAGAGCTCAGATGCTTTCTGAGAAGGAACTGGAAGGCTGACAGAGAGGGCTATGAGCTGTTCTCTACAAGGCTTCTGTGAATATGAGCAAAATGGACAGCAAAGACAACAGTTAACGCCATCCTTACCTGTCCCCCATGTATCCAGCTGTACAGTGGCACTGTCCAGTCACGTGGTCACACTGCCCTCCATGGTGGCAAGGACAGTCCTGGCTGCAGTTCTGGCCAAATGTCCCTGGTGGGCAGGGCTGGGCACACACTGCTCCCTGAAATAGAGATGGGAAGACATGCATGGTGGTGCTCCAGAGATGCTAAACTCTCCTGGGAATGGCACAGCTGCTGTGACCCCAGGGACCACCCGACTTCCCAGAAGAAGTACAGACAGCTGCACACCAGGGCTCCAAAGCCCTCCTCTTAGAGGGAGGCTGAGGCCAAATTGCTCATCCAGTTATTCAGCACTGTTTAGGAACTAAGTACAAGGCAGTAAGTACTCTCACATGGGTACACAGTAAAGCACTGAGGAGGCTTCGCTGCTGCGGAGACATGCACTTTGCTCGACTTCTTTCCCAAACCCAGCAGCCATGAGAGTTAAAGGGGTAAAGGTATAAATCTACGAGGAAAAGAGGAAGAGGAGACTAGAAATGTCACACACTGGAAGATGGAAAAGCAGGTGGAGGGGCGCTGACTGCTTTGCTTTCTACTTCCCAGGCAATGCGAAGTGCCTGCAAAGGGAGTGTTCCAATGCTGGGCAATGAGGTCCTTTGTAACCTCAGAAAGCTCAGGAATCAGAGACACTGGGACCCTCTGAAGGGGAAGGTGCAGGTATGATGAAAACAGGACTGTCTGAAAGTTTATAAAATAGGGAATTGGATGCCCAATCTCTGCCCCACCTTGAAGAGCCAGGTGAATTGCCCGCATCTTTCAGAGAGGTTGGTCTCACAGGCTGTGGACAAGGGACACAGGCACAGAAGAAGGTGGGGGTAGGACTCTCCTGCTGCTTTCTCCCCCACTGCGCTCCCAGAAGGCTGACTGAGGGACTGGACTCCCTGTGGCAGGAGGTTGGAGGATTCCTTTCTAGGGACACTGAGGAGCTCAAGAGAAATGACCTAAAGATATTGATAGTTGAGGGTCCCATCAGTCAACATCTCCCTCCACCCCCAGGTGTCCAATTAGCTTTTCTGAGGCTTACTGTGAAACATGAACAGATGGCCAAGGCTCACCAGATATTTGAAACAGGCCCTCACATGAAAGAGAAACACTGAAATAAACAAATAGACAACAGGAACACAGAGGAAATAAGAACCATGCCTGGAGCAAGGAAAACCTAAAAAAAAAAAAAAAGAAGAAGGAAAAAAGCCTCTATCTTAATTAAAATGAACATGCTCAAGTAGCTATAAGAGAGTATTGCACCTTACTTTTGCACTGACCTAGTAGCAGAAAAAAGTAACAAAAAAAATTTAAAAAAATAAAAAAGAAAGTATCGTACCTATGAAAAAATAGAGTGCTATAAAAGAGAATATCACAGAACAGAAAAGAGGTCTTGAAAATTAAAAATAATACGAAGGATGTTAAAATGTTGCGACAGAGTATAAGGAATCTCCTATAAAGTACACAAGAGACCTGTAATGCCAGCACTTTGGGAGGCAGAGGCAGGTGGATCATGAGGCCTAGAGATCGAGACCATCCTGGTCAACATGGTGAAACCCCGTCTCTACTAAAAATACAAAAAATGAGCTGGGCATGGTGGTGCGTTCCTGTAGTCCCAGCTACTCGGGAGGCTGAGGCAGGAGAATTGCCTGAACCCAGGAGGCGGAGGTTGCGGTGAGCCGAGACTGCGCCATTGCACTCCAGCCTGGGTAACGAGCAAAACTCCATCTCAAAAAAAAAAAAAAAAAAAAGTATGAGAGAGAGAGAGAGAGAATATTTAAAATAATAGAGAAAATATAATGAAATTAGAGGACCAATTCAGGTGGTCTGACATCTTATTAACAGGAGTTCCAGGCAGTAGAACAGGAAAAATGGAGGTAAGTAAATTAATGGAAAATATAATAAAAGAAAATTTCCCAGAATGGAAGGATGGAGAACCTGGGTTTCTGAACTGAAAAGGCCTACAAAGTCTCCAGCAAGAAAATGAAACAAGACCCGCATCAAGCCATGTTATCGTAAACTTTTATATCTCTACGGATAAAGAAATGATGTTAGAAAGAGGAAGACAGGCTGGGTGTGGTGGCTCACGCCTGCAATCCTAGTACTTTGGGAGGCCAAGGTGGGAGGATCTCTTGAGCCCAGGGGTTGGAGACCAGCCCCTGGTCTCTAACATCTAGGCAACAAAGCAGGATCTCATCTCTACAGAAACAAATAAAAATGAAAATAGAGAAAAACAACATACAAAAATCAGGAATTAAAGGTTTTAGACTTCTTAACTAGAAGCCGGAAAACAATGGAGCAATGCTTTAAAAATCCAGAGGAAAAATATGATTTCCAACTTAGAATTCTACACCCAACTAAACTAACACTCAAGTGAGGGATTCAATAAAGACATTTTCAGATTTGAACAGCCTCAAAAAGTTAACCTTCCATAAACACTTTCTCAGAAAGCTACTGGAGGATTTTTTTTTCTATCAAAAAGAATTACCCAAGAAAAAGAAAGGCATGAATTTCAGCAACTAGGGACTCTAACAGAAGAGGGGGTGAAAGGAAGTCCCAGATGACAGCTACGCTGCAGGCCTCGAGAGCAAAGAGTTCAGACTGGAGCAGAAGATGCAGGCTTCTATGAAACTTGCCTCAAAAACAAAAGCAAAAACCGGAGAGTTTCACTCTTGTTGCTTATGCTGGAGTGCAGTGGCATGATCTCGGCTCACCACAACCTCTGCCTCCTGGGTTCAAGCGATTCTTCCGCCTCAGCCTCCTGAATAGGTAGGATTACAGGCATCTGCCACCATGCCAGGCTAATTTTGTATTTTTAGTAGAGATGGTGTTTTCTCCATTTTGATCAGCCTAGTCTCGAAATCCCAACCTCAGGTGATCTGCTTGCCTCGGCCTCCCAAAGTGCTAGGGTTACAGCCATGAGCCACCACACCAGGCCAAACAGAGAGACTTCTGATGCATCTGACTTTACTGAGAGGAGCTTGAGAGCTCCATCAGAGAGTTTTAAGGATAAATTAGTAAAAATACATGTGTATATTAACAAATATTAAAATATAATTTAACCAAGCTGGGCATGGTGGCACCTGTCTGTAGTCCCAGCTACTCAGGAGGCTGAGGAAGGAGGATTGCTTGAGTCCAGGAGTTCAAGGCTGAAAGTGAGCTATGATCGTGCTTGTGAATAGTCATTGCCCTCCAGTCTGGGTGACACAGCCAGATCCCGTGTCTTAAATATTTTTTTCAATAACTGAACCACAAACTGTAATACAACTCCATTGGGAGGTGTGGGAGAAGAGTTGTTTGTGTTTGCATGTGTGTCTATGGCTGAATCTTATTGTATGTCAGGAAGTCAATGGATTCAATGACTAAAATGGAAAAGTCAGGAAACAGCTATAAAGGATGTTATGTAGAAAAATGGAGGGCGATTCCAGAGAAATACCTAAAAGATTTGAGAGTAGTTGCCTTTAGGGAGTAGGATTTGTAAATGGAGTAGGAACTCCCTGGCCCTTCAGTATTGCCTTGTGGTATTTCATCACTTAAAATTACACGAGTCTTAGGTCTTTAACTCACAAATCTGAGCCTGCTCTTGACTCCTGCTGCCCTTCCAGCCCCCCACACACCCAACAGTCATTTCTCTTCTGGAGATTAAGGATGTTCCTCCAATTAATTAATCAATTAGTTCAACACACAATTATTAAGCATCAATAATCGCCAACCCTGCAGAAGCTAGTTTATTTAGGAAAATTCTGCCAGAGTCATCTTTCAAGATCATTCAATTTACTTGTAATGAGTTAAACAGGAGGCCGTCAAGCTCAGACTCTCCATCCACAAGTCAGAGGTAGGGGAGCTGAGGGGAGGGGCTGAGACGGGGAGGGGAGGGAGGAGTGAGGGGCAGAGGCAGCCAAGGACAGTGTGAGAGACAGCGAGAGAGAGTGTGTGAGTGAGAGAGAGAGAGAGAGAGAGTGTGTGTGTGTGTGTGTGTGTGTGTGTGTGTGTGTATGAAGAAGGGAGAGAAAAGTCACTCAGGCCAGGTGCAGTGGCTCAGGCCTGTAATCCCAGCACTTTGGGAGGTCAAGGCAGGTAGTTAAAACACAAAAATTGGCCTGGCACGGTGGCTCAAGCCTGTAATCCCAGCACTTCGGGAGGTCGAGGTGGGTGGATCACGAGGTCAAGAGATCGAGACCATCCTGGTCAACATGGTGAAACCCCGTCTCTACTAAAAATACAAAAAATTAGCTGGGCATGGTGGCACGTGCCTGTGATCCCAGCTACTCGGGAGGCTGAGGCAGGACAATCGCTTGAACCCAGGAGGCGGAAGTTGCAGTGAGCTGAGATCGTGCCACTGCACTCCAGCCTGGGCAACAGAGCAAGACTCTGTGTCAGATAATAATAATAAAAGTCACTCAGAATAGGGGTCCCTCTTCCTCCTGGAGGTGGTGGGGGTACCCCAGGCATGGCAGGGGCCTGTCTTTCTCAGTGCACAGTATAAGTTCTAGGTATTCATGAGGGAGGGAAGTCCTTCTGGCTTCTGTCTGACTCAGTCTTCTACAGTCCTGGGCTGGATAAGGACACTCTTGAAAAAACTTTTTTTTTTTTTTTTTTTTTGAGACAGAGTTTCGCTCTTGTTGCCCAGGCTGGAGTGCAATGGCATGATCTCAGCTCACTGCAACCTCTGCCTCCCAGGTTCAAGCGATTCTCCTATCTCAGCCTCCTGAATAGCTGGGATTACAGGCGCCCACCACTACGCCCAGCTAATTTTTGGTAGTTTTAGGAGAAATGGGGTTTCACTACATTGGCCAGGCTGGTCTCGAACTCCTGACCTCAGGTGATCCACACACCTTGGCCTCCCAAAGTGCTGGGATTATGGGGTGAGCCACCGTGCCCGGCCAACATTCATAGGTTGAAGTTTTAACAACCTCCAGTACCTCAGAATGTGACTGCATTTGGAGCTAGGATCTTGCATAGGTAATTAAGTTAAGATGAGGTCATATGGGTGGGCCCACATCCAGTGTGACTCATGTCCTTACAAGAAGAGGAGATTAAGACAGACCCAGAAAAAAGACTACATGAAGACACAGGGGGAAGATGGCCATCTACAAGCCAAGGAAAGTGGCTCAGAAGGAACCAACCCTGCTGACACCTTGATCTTGAACTTTCAGCCTCCAGCATTGTGAGAATCAGTTTCTGTTGTTCCAGCTGCCTAGTCTGTGGCACCTTGTTATGGCAGCCCCAGAGGACTCATGTATTTGCCCTGTGGTCAGCTGAGTATGTATCTCCAATTGTAGTGGGATCTTGGACTGCTGTGTCAAGTAGAAAGTTGGACATGGGGTAAGGTGACACTTTCTGCTCCTCTCAGAACTGGTTAGACCAAATGGCTTTGTCAAAATCTGGAAAACAATCACACTTTAAAAGGATCTTGGCTAAATGGAACATATGAAGAGAAGAGGCCAAGATGGGGAAAGGACGGAAGGCTGTGCTGGTTCCCCTGGAGAGGAGGCACCTCAGCCTCTCCAAGCACCTGAAGGCATTTCTAACGACCAGTGATGCTCCAGGGTGGCATGGACACCCTCAGGGGACTGTGAGCTGTGGTTGGTGTGGGTGCTATGGAGGTGATCTAGGCCACAGGCCTGGAAGTGGGGGCTCCATGAATCTTCCTTCTCAAAGTTGAGTACCTGTGATGCTATATAGCCTCAGCTCCTAAACCTCTGCTTTTTTTTTTTTTTGAGATGGAGTCTTCCTCTGTCACCCAGGCTGGAGTGCAGTGGCACAATCTTGACTCACTGTAACCTCTGCCTCCTGGGTTCAAGTGATTCTCCTGCCTCAGCCTCTGAATAGCTGGGATTATAGAGGCCCACCACTACCCTGGCTGATTTTTTGTGTTTTTAGTAGAGATAGGATTTCACCATGCAAAACCTCTCTTCGGCCCTCTAGGATAACTAGTTCTATTTCCCAGCCCCTCAGTCTCCTCTCTTCCAGTCTCTTTTCTGTGTGTGTGTATGCATGTGGGCACACACACGCTGTATCCAGCCCCCAGCATCAGACTGGGGACTACTACGGGTGTGGAATGTCAATCCTATTTCCTTGTCCCTCTATGTCTCTAGTGCCCACTTGCATCAAACTACTCACACCTGGCTTCTCTGCTTTGCAAGGTCTCAGAGTTAAGAAAATGAGGGGGAATGATTCCCCAGGCTCTTTTGCAAAGACCCCTACTGAAACAGGCTTCATGTTGGGCTGGCAGACCATCCTGTGTGCATGCTCAGGGCCTGGTGGCCAGGAATCTCTGGGGAGGGGCCTGGAGGACCAGAGTTCCTGGCAGCTCCTCTCTCCAGTTCACACAATGGCCCAGTCTTTGGGGAGGTACATGGTGCGAATCACCAATCTTTTTATCTCTGAGTTGGAAAATGTGAGGTTGAAGTCACAAAGGGCCCACTGTGTGACTGTGGGAAAGTCAGGCACCAGAGGATGCTAAAGTGGGGAGCCTTCTTCCCAGTATCCATTCCTTGGTCCCAGCTCTCCCTGGGAAGAGCCTCAGGCATGAGTGTGACTTCATTATACGGTGACTGTGCATGCACAAGGGGTATTAATAATTCATACAAATCTGCAAGTTAAATGCTATGTCAAAAATAGAAATGCAATTGTCTACAATAAAATTAAAAACATAAAGTCCTCAAGTCCAAAGGCTTCTATTGACAGAGTTTCCTGTCATCTGGAAGAACAAACCTCTCGCTGTGCTGGGGAGAAATACAATCCCTGCATGTGCTGGCTTCTCACCTTCCCCCTCTTTGACCACCAGAGCCTTAGCAGTGTCTCCAGAGAGGCCTTTACAGGCACGGGGATGCTGTGGCTCTGTTCTCCCCAGCACGTCCTGATCCAACCTCTCTGCTGCTGCTGGGCCTCTGAGGACCCGGTCTACTGGGTGAATTTCCGAAAGCTGGTTGGAGATGAGAGGGTCTTTCTAGAGACTGGTTTAGGGTGGGAGAAATGGGCAGGTATGGGAGAGGTGGCGGCAGTCCCTTTTTCCTCCTCAGAGAAAACAGACAGATGGACAGACAGATGCCAAGGGCTGGGAGTCAGGAGAGCTGGACTCTAGCTCCACCTCACTCCTAACTACCAGTGTGGTCTTGAACGGGTCCCTTACCCTCTCTGAGTCTCAGCGTCCTCATCTGAGAAAGGAAAGTACTGACAAACCAGGGGGGTTCAAATCTCTTAAAGCTGGGAAACCCTATTTTTACATGAAATCTTACCTAGAGCACTTCAAAATGTAAAATAGATCGAATGGAGAGGTGGGGGTGGGGTGGGCACCAGAGTCCTCATGATTGGGCTCTTGCCCCCATTCTCCCTCAAGAAACCCTAGGGTTCCGTGAAACACAGAAGGAAATCCTATGGTCTGGATCCATTTTTTCCAAATGCAGACCTGCAGTCAGGACTGGCTGCCTCAGAACCACCTGGGGAGCTTATTAAAAATAGAGATCCCCCAGTCCCAGGAGGTCACAAATGGAGCCTGGGAATCTGCATTTTAACCTCCGCCACCCCCATGTCAGCTCCGGTGTACAGCCAGGTTTGGATACTGTGGGACCAAGTGGTCCCCAAGGTCCTTTCCTGCCCTAAAAACATTCTGACAAGACTGTGCCTGCATTGATGGGCCCTGCAGGTGTCCTCCCGTCTGTCCCTGTGACCTCTGCATTCACAGCCTCCTAAAATATCCTGCTTCTGCTCAGCAGCCCTGTCCTCTCTGGCTTTGCAAAGCCTCAGGCCACAGGGGAGGTGTCGGACTGTGTCGCTGAGCTTCCCCTGAAATGGGGCGTGTTACTGGAGAGTCCGAGGCAGGGACACAGCCCAGGAAGGTCAGCTCCAGCTGACTCACTGCCTCTAACGACTTGGTCTGCAGGGGAGGCGCTGATAGACAGGGTGTGTTGGCTAAAGGGAGGCTTGTAGAGGATCTCTGGTACCCAGGGACAGAAGTGAAGCCATCATAGAGACCTTCAGAGTTTGCAAAGGACTTCGGACATGCACAGCCTCACCTGAGCCAGCCACCAACCACGGCAGCCAGGCAGGGCAGGGCTCACTGGTGGTACATCAGTGTTGTACTTGGGGAAGCGGAGTTATTGAGGCTCTTTTCAGGGTTAACATTGGATGGGAGACCTGAATTTAGACCCATGAGGTTACAAATCCCTTTCCCACAATGGTTGTTCCCAGAGGGGGAGACCTGGGCTGCTGAGGCTGCATCATATCACCGGCAGCACTTGCTAAAATACAAACGCTGGGGCCCACAGAATCCGAATGCGTGTGTGCACGAGTACAGGGGGTGACGTTAGATAAATTCAGGTCATTCATACCTGCTGTTTCTCTTCTTTTCCCAGCCTTTTCTGCCACCTCTGGCCCAGGACCCAGGGCAGCTCATGTGGGTGTTTACACACAAAGACAGCCAATCTTACAAGAATTCAATTTCTTTGCACATGAGACCACAGGCTTAGAGAGGTGAGGAACTGGCTTCAGGCAACGCAGCACTTACAGACGGCAGACCTGGGATTCAAAGCTGTGTCCATGGCACCACTGGCAGCATTTAGTGATGCCCTAACGTGATAAATAGGTGGGAGGGTATTCAGAGTGGGAGAAGAATTCAGCCTTTTTTTTTTTTTTTTTTGAGCCCAGGCTAGAGCACAGTAACTCAATCTTGGCTCACTGGAAACTTTGCTTCCTGGGTTCAAGTGATTCTCATGCCTCAGCCTCCTGAGTAGCTGGGATTACAGGTATGTGCCACAACACCCGGCTAATTTTTGTATTTTTAGTAGAGATGGGGTTTTGCCATTTTGGCCAGGCTGGTCTCGTACCCCTGACCTCAAGCGATCTGCAGGCCTCAGCCTCCCAAAGTGCTAGAACTACAGTCATGAGCAGTGTGCCCAGCTGATTAAGCCTTTTAAGGTTTTCGTGAGTGACAAATGCTCAGCCCTCTTACAGTGCCCCACCCAGATCCTGTGGGGCCACCTACCGTCCAGCCTGGGGGGCAGGCACACTCGCCAGTGATGTGGTGGCAGGTACCTCCATTCTGGCAGGGGCAGCGCAGCTCACAGTGAGCTCCGTGGCTCCCAGGAGGGCACAACTCCTCGCAGCTGCATGGAGAAGCAGAGGTGTTAGACACAGCAGCATTCAGATCAGGTGGCACGGTCCCAGAGCTCCAGGGTTCCCTAGGAATTCCTTCATAGTCAAAGGATCTGTATTAGGCACATCAGCTGAGCTGCAATCCTGCTCCCTGCCAGGAGGGGGAGGCAGGGCTCTGACTGAACACACTGGAATGGAGGGTGCGTCGGCCAATACTTGTGGGATGACTGAGGTGTTCTTAGTGTCAAGAACAGTGTGCTGGGGAGGAGGCGGAGGAAGGCTTCCCTGGGAGGAAGACATTTCACTTGGGCCTTAAGGTGAAGTTAATTTCACCAGGAGAATGGAAGGAAAGGCATGCCAGGCAAAAGGAACAGCACGAACGAAGGCACTGAGAAGTGCTCATGGATCCCATCTTCAAGAATCCACCTAGACTCATAGAGGCGAACAATCTGGAGCACGTTCCTTCCAGGCTCGGGAAGGCTCCCAGCTCTCCTGACAGGCTCATGTGCAGGGCGCTGTGGAGGTGTGGGGCAGGGTTTGCACGTGGTCCTGGTCTTGGGCCTTCATCCAGTGGCCCTGGCCTCTAGCTCACTAGGACTTGGGAGCTGGCCAGACATCGGGTCAGGGAACACCCTCCATGGATGACTTCTCTGTGGTTAGAGTCCGTGGCCACCCCTCAGGCTCTAGGCTGTTGGAGGGGCCACAGAGCCTGTTACGGGGTTGGGAGGAGATCTTCAGTTTCCTGTCAACACTACTCTCTGGGGAACTAGAGTAGGGGGCTGTTTGGTGTGAGAAACAGGCGGAGTAACCCTCCCAAATCTGCAAATAGTATCTGACCTCTCTGTCCCAAATGCCCTAGAAAGGAAGGCCCCAGGTGAGCAGCATCACATGGGGTAAGGTCAGAAGAGACTTCCAAGCTAAGAGCTGCCTCTGCCAGGAGGGGCCTCCGGGGAGGGTTTTAGGGAGGGCTCACTCCAGCAGTCTCAGGAAGGACCAAGCAACAGGGGCCTGGAAGGCAGGAATCTGAGACCTGCGTGGGTGAGTCCTGGGCATTTAGACTCACAGGAGATTTCACAGCCAAGACTATCCTGACTCTCCTGGTCCCACCACACGGCTCACCCACAAGGAGGCCTGGGGCGGGGCCTGGAGCGGCTGCCCTCAGGGCAGCTGCAAGCCCTGCCCCAGGGCCAGCTCCCTCCAAGCCCCCCACCCCTCAAGGCCCACTGCATTACTCACTAGACGCCAGTATAGCCAGGCGCGCAGAGGCACTCGCCGGTGCGGGGGTCACAGCTGGCGCCGTGGCGGCACTGGCACGGCAGCTGGCATCCCTTGCCGTGGGTGCCAGGTGAGCAGAGCTCCTCGCAGCGCCATCCATGGAAGCCGGCGGCGCACACACAGGCGCCTGTGATGGGGTTACACAGGGCGCCATTCTGGCACTGGCACCGGTTGCTGCAGTGGGGGCCCCAGTGGTCGCTGTCGCAGCCTGCAAGAGAAGGGACAGTCAGGGATTAGGAGCCCTGCAGGCTCCCCGTGGGGCAGAGGCCTGTAACGGATGCCCATGCGGCCTTCCCAACTTTGCAGTGCTCCTCCCTGGACAGGGGGCAGCAAGGGGTGCCTGGGTGGAAGCTTTGGCACCTCATAACCTCCACGAGTTCTTCCACCAAGTCAGGCAAATCCATCACACAGGCTAAGAGGGGCAGAGGGCTTGTTTCCTCAAGGCAGCTTCAGAACCCATCTCCCCGTCAGGCCATGGTCTTCCAACCAAATGGCTGTTCCAAAGCCCCCTCTCCTGGCCACAAGCTGTTGACCTCCCTCCGTCTCTGCTAAACTCTTAGCCGGCTGCCTCTCTCTGTTCCTTTCTGCCGGGCCCTTTCTTTTCCCATTGGCCACACGTTTTCTCTGTGACTCTGCCCCTCTTCCTGGGGCCGGCCGGACCTAGCCGAGGCCAGCTCCCACTTCTCTACCTTTCCTACCCCTTCTCCCTCTTCCCCACATGCACTGGTTTTCTCACCTCATGCATCTTACTCACTCTCTGGGAATATTTCCTGCCCCTCCCTGGCTCTACCTCCCTGTCTCCTTTTTCATCTCTTCCTCATGCTTCTTCCTTTCAGTAATGCCTACACCCCCGGGTTGCTTCAGCTTCAGTTCAATTTCATGACTTTCCAAGCAGCTCCTTCATTACTTTCCTTCAGAAGGAGCAAGAAAAAGAAATGCTTCCCTGGGAGGTAACAGACAGCCTTCAAGATCTTAAATGTAATTAAATGTTTCAAAGAGTGGCAGCTGAGCCAGTTTTGCAGAAATTCACACTCTAGGGCTATGGAAAGGGGCTGAATAGCAGAGCCCCAGATAGGTCACCCCGCCTGCTGCCACCTCCCACCCTGATCCTCACTTGATGTGTATGGGACACACAATAACACGATGTCCTCAGCTACAGCCTCATTCCCCCAAATTCTGGGGTGGGAGTGGGGTGTGGAATTCAGGCATGGACAGGCACACGTAACGTTACATTCTGGGAGAAGTTCGATGAAAAGAATGATCGCTCCCAGCTAAGATGATCAGGCCAGACTTCCTAAAACAGAAGCCGTCTCAAGTGGGCTATAAAGGATGTCTCACTTGTCTGCCTGATAGGGTGAGCGACCATCTTGCTTTTAGCACTGAAAAGTTCCACGTTCTGGGAAATCCCTCAGTCCTGGGCAAACTGGAATGGCCAGTCACCAAGATTATCTGTTGCTCTGTGTGCTCCAGGTTTCTAGGGTTTAGAGGCTCAGAGAGGAAAGGGGGTAGGTGAGTGGGAATGGGAAGGTGTCACTGGGGTAGGCACAATATAAGCAAAGACACAGTGGCATTCAAGTGTTGGGGGTGTACAGGGGTACAAGGTTCCAGAGTGGCCTCTGAGTGCATGTGGTCTTTGGGGGCTGAAGGTTGGTGGAAGGATCACTCCACAAGCCCTACCAGTCCCCTACATGTCCCTCCCACCTACTGGCCAAGGTCAAGTGGTCAATGTCATGGAGTCTGCCCATCATTGTTGAGCAGACAGAACCACCGAGGCCTGGAACGCCTGTCACCCTATCTTGGTTCATTCCTTTTTCCTCTGTGCCCCAAATATTCACACACACAAACTGAGCTATCAAATTATGAATGAATCTCACCCTATATTTTCCACTTGGTATTACAGTGAGTAAGGCAAACATTAAGTCCATTCACAGCTACAGCCTCCACTCACATTGAAAAAGGCTCACAGACGGCTGGACGCTGTGGTTCATGCCTGTAATCCTAGCACTTTGGGAGGCCGAGACGGGTGGATGCCTGAGCTCAGGAGTTCAAGACCAGCTTGGGCAACACGACGAAACTCTGTCTCTACTAAAATACAAAAAATTAGCTGGGTCTGGTGGTGTGTGTCTGTAGTCCCAGCTACTCGGGAGGGTGAGACAGGAGAATTGCTTGAACCCGGGAGGGAGAGGTTGCAGTGAGCCAAGATTTTGCCACTGCACTCCAACGTGGGCGACAGAGCAAGACTTTGTTTCCAAAAAAAAAAAAAAGGCTCACAGGACTGGGGGTGACTGAGTATCCAGCAGTCCAGCACCTCCCACCTCATCCTCTCTCTGGGACACACAATCAGTGAGCAGAAGGACCAGCAGCATTATCTATGGCACCGTTTTCCTTTTAGTTGTCAAGAACATGGAGTTGAATTCACACCGTTTATTGTCTGTAAGATGTGACTCTAATATAACAATGACAGCCACATTTTAAAAGCTCCCTGTGCGCCAGGCACCATCCTAGAAGTGTTACATACAGGACTAAAACGTAGCCCTCACAACAACCATCTAAGTTAGGTTTTCTTATGTTCCCATGTCACAGATGGAGAAATACAGGATCAGAGAAGTTAAGTGACTCCCTGAGGTTACAGCAAGGGCAGGCCCAGGTCTCCTGGTTCTAGCTCTCTCCACTGCAGGTCATGTGACACTTTCTGGAGGGGGAGTCCAAAGACTGAAATTTAGAGGCGGCCTTGGGGACAAGGTGGCAGCCACAAAGCACAGGTTGGGGATGCCTCAGAGACTGGCCAATTCTCTGTTCATCACTGTGAACCATCTCAGGATCCAGCACAAGGAGGTCCCTTCCTTTGTTGGGGCTGCAGTTACTGCCCTGAGACCTTGGCTCTGTATGAAACTGTTGGAGCCCAAAGCCAGTTTGTTCTTGGTGCATCCCAGGGCGTACAGTTACGCTTTGCTTATCAAACAACCTCTGTTCTTTCTGGTGCAGCCAAAACTCAGTAGGAAGCAAAACTAGCCTTCTGATAAGGAAGCTAGAAAATTGTCTTAAAGTCCACATGGTAACACTTGAGTGTTTTCATTCATCTGCTTGTCCACTCAAAAACATTTACCAAGGACCTGCTAGTGCCAGAAAGCGCCCTGCCCTGTTGGGGCGCACAGCAGAGTAAGGGCAGAAATGCTGGAGTAGCATTCATGGTACACTACGAAAGTGCTCTAATATGGGTGACTCAGGGCATTATAGAAGGGCATGGAAACACAATTCTATTGAACCTGGCACTCTGCTTCCTCATAATACAGACTGGCATGTGAGTGTGTATGTATATGCACATGTGTATGTGTCTGCATTTTTTTTTTTTTTCTGAGATAGAGTTTCGCTTCTGTTGCCCAGGCTGGAGTGCAGTGGTGTGATCTCAGCTCACCACAACCTCCACCTCCTGAGTTCAAGTGATTCTCCTGCCTCAGCCTCCTGAGTAGCTGGGATTACAGGCGCATGCCACCATGCCTGGATAATTTTTTTTTTGAGTTGGAGATTCGCTGTTGTTACCCAGGCTGGAGTGCGATGGCATGATCTCCGCTCACCGCAACCTCCGCCTCCTGGGTTCAAGCAATTCTCCTGCCTCAGCCTCCTGAGTAGCTGGGACTACAGGCGCCTATCACCATGCCCAGCTAATTTTTGTATTTTTTAGTAGAGACGGGGTGTCACCTTGTTGACCAGGATGGTCTCAATCTCTTGACCTCGTGATCCACCTGCCTCAGCCTCCCAAAGTGCTGGGATTATAGGTGTGAGCCACTGTGCTTGGCTAATTTTTTGCATTTAGTAGAAACTGGGTTTCACCATGTTGGCCAGGCTGGCCTCAAACTCAAGATCTCAGGTAATCTGCCTGCTTTGGCCTCCCAAAAGCCACAGTGCCTGGCCAACATCTGCATGTTCTATGGGGCTCCTAAAAATATGTGAGCAAGAGCTCTGTGTCACCGTAAGAAACCATGGAAATAGGAAACGTGTAGACAAAAGAAAAAAGGGCCAAGCAACTTGGAGCCATTAATATAGGGGCAAATAGCCTGTCATATCCAAATTGACAGGAAGAAGTTACATTCCTTCTCTGATTAAGGAAGCAGAGAAGTGTGTAATTCATTCCAGAGAAATTCCTCCCCAGAGCGATTAAACGGAAAAACAATGTTAGGGTTCACAGGGATAAGCTTCAGTTATCTAGAAAATTCACTTAAAACACCTCATTCCCCAGCAATGACAGAGAAATGAGGCAAGCGGCAGCGAGTCAATTATCAGCTCTGCTGAAGGTGACTGAAAACTACCGTTGTTATAATTACAAGAGGACTTTGCATTGTTTCAGAGAATTGCGAACTTTTACCAATTTGGCTTTGGAATGTCACCCCTCACACATTTCTTTTTTCTGTCCCAGACTCCCCTTCCTAATTACATTGGACTTTGGCTGATTTTTTGGTTTTTTTCTTTCTTTTTTGAGATGGAGTCTCACTCTATCACCCAGGCTGGAGTACAGTGGTGCCGTCTCAGCTCACTGCAACCTCCCTCTCCTGAGACTCCATCACCCAGGCTGGAGTACAGTGGTGCCGTCTCAGCTCACTGCAACCTCCCTCTCCTGGGTTCAAGCGATTCCTGTGCCTCAGCCTCCCGAGTAGATAGAATTACTGGCTGATTTTTTTTTTAAGTGGCTAGATCTTCTCTGGGCAGCTTCTAAGGGCTAAAGGGCACTAGGAAATGCGTGGCCTGGCTTGTTCTGTTCGTTGAGGCCAGGCAGCTCACCTCCTTCCCTTCTGACCATTTCAGAGTTTGGGGTCTAGGGTTAGTGTACCCCTGGGTCCCCATAGGGGAAGAGGCTTCACCACTGTCTTCATCACCAACAGGCTCTCACATTTGTAACTCCAGTTGATCGGACAGTTGCTAATGCCACGTCATGAGATAAAGTGCAAAGTGAATGTCTCATTTAATTCTAACAACCCATAATAACAGCACCTGCTGCAGGTGGACACGGAACGCTGACAGGCAGCCTGGGCTGAAACAGTCACCCTTGAAAATCAACAAAGAGATGAGAACAGAGACTCATTTTCCGCAAGTGCCTGATTCAGGAACTGCTTTAAGTGTGAATGGTGGGCGTAGGCCCTAGGTTTTCCATGACTGGCCCTACTTCTCTAATTTTATTCTCTTCAGTTAAGATTATCTATTGCTGGCCGGGCA